CATCAAACTGTGTGACCCTAGATTAAGCCCCCCTCCCCTTTTCCCTTTTTGCATTCTTGTTTCTACAATAATGGTCTTATACAGTATTTGTCTTCATAAGACTGAATTAGTTCACTCAGCCATAATGTTCTCTATTCCCTCCCATATTAGTTAGTCGTTTATAAAATCACTGCTCCTAACCTGATTTTTTAAAATTTATTTTTAATTTCAATGAAAATTTAGAGAGACTTTGGATTTCCATTCATTCATTGTTGCACTTTTCTCCCCTCCCAACCCTCCCCCCTAATGCACTACCCGCTTGGAAAAGTAAAAGAAAAGATTCTTTCATTATTTTACAAACCCTCTCCCAGGTCCACCTCACTATGTAGCCTTCGCTCTGGACTCCTGTCATGACAAAAATACCTAATCACATCCCTTTTAAACAGTTTTCTCCCTCATCTGTTTCAATGCAGTATACATGTCAGTCCTGTTTTACAAAAGTGGCACCATGCAGTATTTGTCCTTTTGTGACTGAGATATTTCATTCAGCACAATGTCCACCAGGGTCACCCATTTTTAATAATATTGCATGAGTTCCTTCTATCTGGTCATAATATTTTTTTGGAATCTTTGCATAGAATATTCAGTAATGGTAGCCACACAACCTACAGTTCTTCTGATCTCATGGCAAAGCTGCAGTTAGCCTCATATTCCTTAGCCTTTTGCTGTTTGTGAGTCTGTTTTCCTCTGTTGCTCCTGGTGAATAGGGACTAATTGTTGTATCTTAAGTGACTGGTTACAAGCTTTTAAGACCCCAGCACAATGCAATGCAATAAGAGGTACAACTAAATACCAAACACATTATTGGGCAAATTAATTGGGATGTTCTGTGAAACCATGACATTAAAAGTCCAAACCAGACATCAAATCCCTTGGTATTGTTCATAGTCTAAAAGTATCCTCAAGGTTAATCACTACTTTTGTTCTCTTTAGTTATGTTATCTGTCATTAGGCTTTTTTGCCAATTCAACTTTTTATAGGAACACAGCTTATTAATAGCAATTATAGTAATTAGCTGTGCAAATTAAATCTTAATTAATACAATTTTTCATCATGGTTAGCCCGTTTCCTTCCTCGATCCCGCCAGGTAATCACTAATAAGCTTTGGTGTCTCTATAATAAGACAAGACAAGACATCCTAATTTAATAAGTGAAGGCATATGATATTTGTCTTTTTGTTATTGAGTTATTTCACTTAGCATATCTTTGAGTTCTTGTCATACACATACACATACACATTTCAAGACTTCGTTTTTATCTTATTGATGGAATCATATTCCATTGTATATATATACACCATATATTTTCAGGCCACCTATCTGAAAAAAATCTAGTTTCTGTTTTCAACAGTTGTGGATAGTATGTGTGAACATTCGTGTATGTTTCTTTTTGAGTCTTTCAAGTATTTTGAGTGTATAACTAGCAGTGTAATTGCTGAGTCATATGGTAGTTCTATTTTTTTATTTTTGAAGAACTATCACTTTGTTTTCAATAATACTAATGTTATTTTTGCCATAGATAAGGATCCCAATTTTCTACAACCTCATAAACATTTGTAGTTGTGTGTCCTGTGTTGTTCTGTTCTGTTGTTTCATCATAGCCATTCCAGTGGGAGTGAAATGGCATCTCATTAGGGTTTGATTTGTATCTTTTTGGTGTCAGTGAGCCTCTCTCACTGAGCCTCCTTTTTTTTGGAGGGAGTATTTTTAAATTTGTTTTTTTATATTGGTTTTCTTACAAAGCACAGCTATATTGTGTTTCACACTATTCTTCATTCATACTGTGCTTCATAGAAGCATCCCCATGCATTATGTTGCATAGAATTAATCATCATTGGACATAGCCCATCAACACCCTATCTTTTCAGGTCCCTGC